TTTGTTGTCTTCATGTAATGAATTAGGTATTTTTATTTTTAAATTCAAAAAAAAATTATTTAAAGTATAAAACTTTTCAAGTTAATAAATGAATTTCTTTATTAGATTTAGAAAGCTTTGAGAACCGTGCGCCTGGTTTTCGAAGACAGCCAATAACTTATGATTACCATAATTTACGGGTTGCTGCAACACAAGGTACATTTTAAGTCAAATTTCAAAAATTGACATGTAATTTGCATTATGTATATTTTATAGTGTCTCAAACAAAACCAAATCGATCAGAAATAAGAGTTCCAACATCTGTATGGTCCGGTTATGGTTTTAGTCAATCAAGTCCTTCAGCTATTTTAAAAGGACAACGAGATGTAAATTCATTTTTAATCATACAAACTATTTGATTATTTTATAATATTATTATTTTGATATTTATAGAACGAGATAAATATATGGAGTAACTCTACACCTGAAATAAATAATGATATATCTGAACTAGCATCAATGGAAATGAGTAACCATCTTGACTCAACGCCTACATCGACTGTGTCTAAAATCACATCTTCTTCATTTGCTGATTTACCATCTCATTTGGCAATTCTTGGTTTAGATAAATATATAAGTAAGTTAATTATTCAATTCAACATAGTATCATAATATAATATGGTATAAATGTTTATTTTATGCACCTACTTTAGACTTATTTAAATCCCATGAAATTGATTGGACTACTTTCAAGACATTGACAGAAAGTGACCTACGTGAAATTGGTGTTACAGCCTTAGGAGCTCGAAGAAAAATATTGTTATCTATAGCAGGTGAGATACTACATTTTTGTAATATATTAAAAACTTCAATTTCAATAACATTAGGTGCTTAACAATATTTAAAATTTTAAAATTTCTCATAAATATATATGATTTATTGAATTTTTAAATATATACATAATATATACATTGTAATCTTACTGAATAATTGTTGGCCTATATTTGAATGTTCCCAGACAAAAATCAAAATTAAATTTAAAAAAGGTCTTTTAATACAGGTTGTGCTTGTTATACATCTCAAAATAATTTATCAAAGTTCCTAATGTATAATTAATTAATTATTATTCTTAAGTATATTATCCAATAATCGTATACTTCATGCTTTAGTAATTTGACTTATTTAACTTTTCAAATTTAACTATTACTGAATATAAACATAATTTTCAAAATTTTTATTGAAAATATTTCATTATGAAACATTTTTGGAGGTAAAAATTGAAATACTTTATAAAAATATTATGATTAATTAAAACTCAAGTTGTTATGGAATAACCCTGTAACTCAGGAATGTAACTTATATGTTATTAACACACAGATAATATACCGTCTTACAGATATTATGATCCTAATAAAACAATTTAAATTGTGGGCATTGAACTGTCTCCTTAAATGTACCTTCTGTAATACAACACCGTAGTATCATTGACATTATTTTTTTATTATGTCAGATAACACAAAAAACGCATTATTCATAATATTTTATTATCTAACTGTTATTAAATTGTAATTTATATTTTTTTAAGATTTATTTATTTTATTTATGCATGTAGAATTGAATAAAAGGTGTCCGGTTGGTGGATTATTTGGTATTAGACCAGCTCCAGGTGCAGAAAGAAAAAGTCCTGCATCAAACAATAGTCCATCAGACACATGGTAAATTAACACAAATATTAACTGTATGTTATAAAACTTCATATAATTTTTTGCTGTCAAAAATTATAAATTATAATTTAAATTATTAAAAAACTCTAGAAGTTTAAAACTCTTAAACAATTTTTTTCAAAATATATAGGTGCTAAACATATTATAATTATATAACTATCTTCAGATTTATTTAAAACATAACAGAATTTATAATATTTTAGTAACAATTACCCTTTTTTTTGCCTTCAACCGATGTTAGTATATTATTATGTTGTAACCAAACATTTCACATGGCTTTTATATTACTACCTATATATTTGTTTGCGTTTCAATAGCCTACCATTTTAAAAAAAAAATTATTCCAAAGTGTAATTATTTATTTCGAACTTTACTTTATGTTATTTTATTTCCTAAAAACTAAATAAATGTTGAATGTTTTTATGCAATTATCAATGTAATGGTTATGTACAATGTTTGTTACTTTTAAAAATCGTCAATCGTTGGTAAAGTTAGATGGACAAACCACATTTATTATAACAACTTTAGGAGAAATTTTGATTTATGATATTTTCAAAACCATTTATTGTATCCATTGTATTGTATTTCATGATGTTAAAATTGAGTTCTATATTAAATTATTATTATTTTTTGTTGTTATATAAAATAAGTATTATTATTATTATTATTTTTTTTATAATCTAAAAGTGGTGTATTATTTGTAGGCCTTTATTTGGTATAAAAATAAAATATGTTTTTGTATATTATTATAAATACCTATATAATAAACAAATTGCCTGTAATGTTTAGTTGATTTTGAAATGTACCTTGAATATATTACAGTACCTATCCTATACAATAGTAATATAATTATATTAATTTATCTTTCTGTCACAAGTATACTGCAGTCTGTTGAGTCAATAGTGAGCATGAATTAAAATATGATTAATTATTAGATGTTAAGTTTTAATTAATTGCAGTGACTAATAATTAGTTTTGTGTGTGAGACAAATTTTGGGACTTACCATAATTGAGCTAATATCTAGTCTTGCAAATAAAGTCTAGGAAAAAAGATTGGTAAGTAGGTACCTCTGTTAGCCTATATTACTAAATATTTAGTATATTTTATGATATTATTGCTATTAAAGTAATTTAATTTACTATTCGTAACACACTAATACCTGTGAATTAATTTTTGCAAAATAATTTTAATTTTAAAATTGGTATTGTGTGTATACAAAAGTAAATTATATACTTAAGTTTCGATTACTCACAAATTATATTTTTAAATTACTAAAAAGTAACTATAAATGCTTTCACTGTTTAAATACCTAATTTAGTCCAAATTTGAACGTACAAATGGGTTTTATAATTTTTTTGTTTAAGGTATGAACTACTTATGAGAAATATTGTTTTAAATTTTCAAGCTTTTTTACCCAACAAAAACAATTGTATTTTAACATTTATACAAAAAATACTTAAAATGTATATAAAATACTCAATTATAGTCAAACATTTTGAAAATGTCACCTATAATGTAAACCAACAATATTTACTTTCTCATCGGAAAACATACTGAAATTGAAAATCAATGCATTACTTTGACAACTTATCTTGTACACAGACACAAAATATAAAAAAAATACACATTATAGAATCAATACATTTACAACCTTCAAGACTGTTTTTACTAATCCTAATTCTAGGTGGTGAATATAATTTTTCATTCATTTTAATGCCCATTTTTATTTCTATTTCTAACAGTGTAAGTGCTTATTATCAAATCTGTTATGGATTCTCCAAGGATGACATAAGCTAGCAGAGTATTGTTTTTTTTTTATTTAATAGGCATTAATATTATTGGTAAAATTGTTTAATGTGTATGAAGTATCATACGTGTAGTTTTTACTAGATATCTACTTAGAAGTTGTCAATAAAGTAAACAAAAAAAAAAAGTATAACCCAGAAGACTAGTCTCATGATTTTATCTGTGTAACATTCACGTATAAATGGTGACAACGACTAACCGCTTACATGCCTTGCTACAAAGAAAATTCGATTTTATATTATTATATTACATTATCATCATCCTTCGATCTTCATAAGTAATACAGTTGTGTAATGTGTGTGATAGTTCGTATTCTGGTCAACGTCGTGAATATAATTATAATTTATAATAAATTAGTCAAATTGTATGTCTTTATATGTTTTCAGGATTTATTAAATATAAATTTACCCCCCCCCCCCATAAGATACGGCCTTGATGACTACCTAGTGTATTATTATTATTATTATTATTATTATTATGTTACCCATATAAATACTTCAGCTTTCTTGAATACATTTGTACTTAACTAAAATAATATATTTTAATAATAGTTAGTCGTTAGTGTTTATCTATCCTCTTGGCTCTTTTCACTTTTTTAAGATTCGTATTCAGTGCCGGATTTAACCATTGTGCCACTTTAAGCACTAAATAATTTGCCGCCTTTTAATATAAATATTTGTCTAGTCTAAAAAATGTTATTAAAGCATACAGATACAATTATAGTTTTTCATTTTTTTACTTAAAATTTTAATGATGAAAAATAAAAACATATAACTCTACGATTATGAAATTAGAAAACATAAAATATAAATATTACCACAATCCCTTTGGTCTAAAAACATTTTATAATTAGTTTCATTTTATTTTAGTTCTAGTTACATATAGTAAAAATGTAATATTAAAAATTATTTGCCGCCCTAAGCACTAGCTTATAGTGTTTACTGGGAAATACGGCACTGTTCGTATTATACAAACACTTGATAAAATAAAATAGTAATCGTACATTTATTGTAAATTAATGTAACCTGTTTTGGGGGGTGTAGGAGCATGGCCCTTCACCGACCCAACTTCCTTTACTTAATCTAAGAATTCTTGGGCTGAAGCCCCCTAACTTTAAGGCCTACGTTACGCCAATGGCTACCAGCTATCCGGATGATTGGTACTGAGTAGTGCGTACAAATAATATTAAAATAAATATTTATATAATATTCATATGATACGGTATTGATGTACAATAATTCAAATTATATATTTTATTTGATTTGCTAACAGAATTATTTCCGTATTGAAAATAACTAAAAGGTATAATAATATATTTTGTGATACTTAAAGTATATTATGTTTGCAATACTAATATTAATATTATACAAACTAAAAATATTTTTAAAAATAATGAAATAAAAAAATATTTACTTGTAATAACATGGAATAATATTTAAGTTCATGGAAGAAGTCCTAACTACATTTTGTTGGTGGCACTGAAATATAGATGGGTCATCTGTGTTTGTCGGTCAGTCGGTGATGAATTGTTGCTGAGAAAAATTCAATTTTTTTTTTGCTAAAAAACCAAAAAATCGAGTCTATGCCTATACCGGAGAATAGTTTATGTATATTCAAAATTCTTCCAAAATAATTAATGTTTGAATGAGTGAATTAACAATTTATTAATTATTACCTTTCATTCAAGGTGTTTTTGTGTAGTACTCTTATCAGTAATCACCATCAATCATTACGGTTTGGATATTGTGAATTAATCAACATTTGAGGTATTTAGTATTTATTTATTATTAATAGGTATATATTTATTTATTTCTAGTTTCTACATTAATTTTATTTACTTATTTAGCACAATGCAAAATTATGTTCTTTCAATCTAATCATTAAACTACTTAGAAAAAGATTATTATTTTGGTATTAAATGAGAACAAAATAGGTACTTGAAATAACATTGTTACAAATTGGAAATAACTTGTTCTTAAATTGCAATAATTTAAATATTAGCCCTACTGACAGACAATTTTTGATTATAAATAATTATTCAGGATGTTTTATTAATATAGTCAAGGATTAATCATTAGTCATTGCTGATAAAGCTTTGACATATAATAGGTACAGTATTAAAGCGTGTCATTTATGTACAAAAAGTTATGCCTTCTTTTGAAATTTTTTTTTTTTTATGCATGTATCTGAATAGTTAAACATTTTATCCGGGTAAATACAATACAAATGTGTGATATAAATTTTTATTCTATGCATTTATCAACAACATATGTATTCAATAATATGTTAGCCCATATCTATTTTGTATTTAAAATACATTATAAATGCAATACATAATATATGGGTATTTATTTAATTTAGTATGTTGGTGCTCAAGTGTTTGATCACTTCAATATCCAGAATTACTTATGACTTCAATTAAATCACCTAAATACTCAAATGTATTTATGTTACAATTTCTTATTAGTATGATATTATTTTGGTATTCGTTGACACAAACAATATTGTGAGTTTTCTCCATACCCATCACACCTTAATTTGTATTAAATCTTCCAGTTAGTTATTATCTATCTATAAGAGTAGGTACCTAGAATGTATTAATTTTTTTTATACAAATAGTTGCAAATAACAATTATCAAAGTACATATAATATATCACTGTGTATATATATGTGTAGTCTACTAATCTACTTATACTTTAACAACATAAGATAGGTTTGTCTATACAGTTTTATGTATTGAAGATATATTGCATCATTTCAAGTAGTAGCAGACTACAGTAGAACATTTCATTAATTAAAAATTTGTGTGGAAGTATTAAGAACAGTATCAACACTAATAAAAACAATAAATTCAATATTATTGAGAAATTGCAGATGATATTGTATTTGAGGTATATTGCAACTGGGGATATATTTACCTATAAATATAGAATATGGTTGATCATTTGTTTGAAAACCATGATGGGAATTTGAGGTAATCTATAAGTGTTTACACATTTAAAACGTAGAAGCTTATATTTTTATAGTTAGGTTTTATGGTTATGATTATTAGTTGATTACGTTGATGTATTAATTTACAACATTAATTATGTTGTTTAAGAAGTAGGTATATAGATAGTATAGTTCATTAGTAGATAAGTTATTTTATTTGGCCTATTAAATTTCTTGATTAAAATAATAAACTATATAGGTGTTTGAAAATAATAAATACTCCTTAAAACTAACATGTTAATACTTTTAAGAAGAGGGTGTTCGTGTATTATAAATGTACAATATGGCTGTGTGGTCGCCATAGTGTCTGGGGTTGTATAATTATACAGTTAATGTATTATGTTGTCTGTCTTAAAAAATGAATATATAATCCATTTTATTGTGATTTTTAACATTAGAGTGAATTGACCTATCATCACATTTAAAGGTAAGAATATTATTAAAAGCCTCATGGGAATTTTTAAATATTTTAATTTTGTAGCAAGTTATAATAGTTATAAAATATCATGATAATATTATTATTTTTAAAATTCTTATAGATGTCAAAATTCACTCTATTGTTAAAAAAATTACTACCTAAGGGAAATTGATCATTTTGAATGTAAAATTTTTGGATACAACATAAATAAGTATAATGTTCTCTTAAGACTTAATTATATTTCCTTTCAAATAGCCAACAGGTAATAGTTTTTACGAACAAATTAATTTAAAAATGAACGCCTAAAACGAATATTTAAAGAACAATATTTTTTGTTTCAGTTTCAGAGGGGGGAATAGGGTTTAATTATAAAAAATAACAATATAACGCTTTATACATGGACATTGAATATTGGTACTGTAGCGCTAGAGCACCCCATGAAATAAATAAAACATAAATATTAAATATTCAATATGGTTAATATTATATAATGTAATACATGTCATGTAGAAATAAACATTTTTAATTGATATGTTTTGGGTTTTCTTGTTATTTTTGGTACCTATAAAAATTCTTTGTATTCTCTATTTGTAAGATTAGAAGTTCAAGCTATCATAATATCTATAGAAGAAAAACAAAAATCCCATTTTTATCAACAATAGGAAATTATAATCTTAAGAGCTAGGTTTAGGTGAAGTCGAGCCAAACAAAAAAAAACTCCAAAATGGTGGCAGGAACATTAATTTATGTTGCCTAAAAAGCAATATAAAGCACTATCTGTATGACAGATTTCTAAGTAACGTCAAAAAATAAATATATCTATTTTAACTTAATACTATGGCTCTGATTTTTGGTGAGACAAAATTAGAATAATATTGTAGTATAATGTTAGATTTTTCTAAAGCAATACATTTCAATATATATCATCAGTATCAGGTGCGATTGATTTTTTGAAACAAGGTTTGGTATCAGAAGTGATTAAATTAGTTAAAATTATGTTAACCGTACTACGTTTGATTGTGTACTGCTGAGTGTTTTCTGCTCTTTGGTGCTAAAAAAACATTTTTAAGGTCAACAATGACGCAAACATGACTTAATGATTTAACTCTATTAAATATACATAAACAAGAAAAAATAAACATACATTTATATATATATTGCTAACAAATTTATAAAGGCAACCAAAATACTTTTGAGATTTGTTATAAAAATTTTCATCTTAACATTTTTAATTCATTATTATGTATACTAAGTGAATTTTTGCTTATTTGTATACAAGTTATAATTGGTTTACCTGACAAAATAAAAGTCTTCAAACTTGTTCTCTTAAGTTAATTTTTTATTTTGCTTAAAAGTTTAAAAATTTTAGGATTTTAGGCACCCCATGAAAATTTTGAAAACCTGGCAACCATATCCTTATATACTCAGAAAAAAATAATGTGCAATTATAAATACATGGAAATTTAAGGTGCTATATGAACTTAAAAAGGATATGTGAGAGTTTGATATATTTTATTTAAATCGCGTAAGTTAAGAATAATAACATAATATAAATTTATTTTACCTTAAATCTGTAGCTTGTGTGGTTAAATATTTTTTTTGTAAATTAGAAAAATATTTTTTTAAGTATGAATAATATGTTATTTTGCCCATTGAAAATGTATTCATCCATCCAGCACAAACTAATTTCTAATGTTACATAAATAAAATAAATTGTATAACTTGGTAGGTACTTGATATAATAAAGTATTCTAACTATAAATAATAATAAATAAAAAATGGATAAAATATCATGACTCCTATTGGAGGTATTATTTTTAGTGTTAAAATAAAATTTTTTTTTCTCTATGATGACATTTTGGATCTATTATTTTTAACTTGAAAGGTTTTAAGTTAAAATTTGGATACATATATGGTAGTTTGGGGAGTCAAAAATAATCGTAGTCTTAATAAAAATAATCAGAAAAAATAACAACAAATAGCGGAGATTGTGAATATTTCCGTAACCACCTCTTATTGATTAAATGGATTTTGTTTTTTCACCTTATTTCAAAGTGGAAATTGTATTGAAATATTTGATTTTTCTTAATATAATACATTTGTTAAATATTTTTGTTCATTTGACATTTTCTAATTTTTTTCGTTTTTTCCTATTTAAGTTTACTATGGTAAGTGTTTTTAATGTAAAAGCTTGAAAATGTAATAAAAAGTTCATCATAAGTTGTTTGTACAGAAATTTAAAAATATTTTAATTACGCATTGCAAAAAAATTTTTGTAATCGCTTAATTAAATAAGGGTATATTTTAATGAAATTTGGAACTTTAAATGAAAAAAAATGATCATAGTTATTTAGTTGTAATTGAAACTTTTTGACTAATTTGACTATTTCGTCGGTATTGACTTCTATAAGTTAATCACGGTATTATTATAGTTATATATGCAAACACGTAGTGTTTTTGGCACAAAGAAGTTCGTAGAATTAGTTTCCACGAGTCTAATCATAGAAAAATAAATTACTTGAAGCAATATAAATATATAATAAAATCCTTGGAAATATAGGCGATGGTCCGTCTCCGCGGTTCTATATCATTATTCATATGCAATTTATTATTTATCATTGAATTCGAATTTAACTGATCCATTACAGTAGCTATTCCCTGATATTATGGTACACACGAAACCTTAACGATATACTAATGACTTCCCCGGATTCAAACCTATTGTTTTAAGAGTTTGTAAAACAATGAATTTTTCACTTCATTTTATTTTTGCAATAAAAACTTCGACTTAGTTAAAAATTATTAAATAGGTCAGTTTTAATATTTGTTAATTTTTGAAAATTCTTTTTGCTATTAAAAAATGTCTAACCCACTTCCAGCTTATATGGTTATTTCCATTATATAGAATGGTTTTTATCGTTTTGATTATTCTCGCATATATTTTACTTTTGCCGTACCTAGCGTAATAATTTTGATGAATAAAAATAAATGTGGTACAGTGATTAAAAGTCTGAATTTAACACGATGTAGCGACGGCATAAATTCGAATTTCGTTTTCCTCCATAATCATTAATTATTATATACCTACATTTCATCTGTTAATTATTTTCTCGATTATAATTTTTCTTAATTGTACACTTGTTAAGTTGAACATTATGCATTTTATCGTATTATATTATTTTTAACACTATAAAATATGAAATATTATAAACTCGTAATAATTTTGGTTATTTAGATAGCTTAGATATTTTGTGGGACTAGAAACGAATATGAAACATCCTAGATTGATATGATCCCCTTGGTAATAATATACTACTAATTACAACAGTAAAATAGTGACTGTCTAAAAGTAAATGATTTTATAATATGATGTAATTGTCATCAAATATTTATAACATTATTTAACGAAACATTGACGTTATTAATTCGAACAATTCAAAACAAATTCGAATTAATTTCCAATCAATTTTTTACTATCCCATAATCAAAAAAACACAGTATCAATTTCTTGGTGCTAATAAAGTAATGAAAATGTAATAAGACTCTTAAAGCTTGGAATTGATGGGAGGAGCCATATTCTGACTTTGTATTGATCCTTTCTGTTGTGTGTATACAAATGCGTACAGTAGTCACACCCTAACCATACTCCTACGCGATTTTTTTGCCTGCATAATATATATATCGCTGTATTGAAAATACGTTTAGTGAATATATTTTATAATAAATTTTTATAGTATATTATAGTAGTTCAGTATTTTCGTATTGAATAAGAAATAACTCTTTAGGTACAATTATAATAGGTATTTAGCAAAAATATTTAAAATATATTTTACCTATTACATAGAAGTATATGTGTAACTTCCTTGATCTTACCTTGGCTTCCATTTTTGTATTTTTCGCTTATACAATTTAAAGGTTCTTCATAAATTATATTTGCATATTACCAATGAACCTGTTTTCGGAAGCAGAATATTTCTAAACTTTAACAGTTTAACGTATAAACTTAATACTTCGAAAATTCCATCTTAACAGAACTTGAAAATGTTATTTTTTCGATAATTTTTGTAGTTGATATCTAATACCTTAAAAGTTGGTAAAATAAATCTTTTAAAAACGACTATAGTTCGAGTTAAAAATCTATTTATGCTTAAAATTATAAATAACAACAAATTACCTATATGTATTTATTACGTATTTTCAACAGTTTAAAATTGCCTCTCATTTAAACTTTTTTGATTGCCTTAAACCTAATTTATTTAGAATAATATGTATTAAATAAAACCCGTTTCACTCCAACATATTAACTACCAATGTAATGATTAGAGGTCGGATTTTTATGATTTTACATATTTGTTTCTAGTTTATGCAGTTAAATGGAAGTGAGAAATCTTTACGAATCATGAAACACAGAATTCACAGGAAAAAATTTATTTTGCATAAAAAAGCATATTTTAGAGGTTAGAGAATATTTAACACGTTAGAGAATATTTGGGAATATTTTTGTGATACCCGGCATATAATGAACATATTTCACGCATATCAGCATTTGATAAATACAATGTTCACTAAATGATTTATTTCCGGATTTTAATAAAAATTAATCTCCAGGTATTCCTTATCGATTGCGAAAGCACAACGGTTATTTCGTTAGCTGTCACGACTATACATCGAACAATATATAGTAATTAATTGTTATTGTAAAATTAATTTAATTAAATATTTTTAAAACCAAATTAATAAAAAATTAATTTAAACTGTTTTTTTTTTTTTATATCAAAAGAATATTTTGCATATTTAAGGACATAAAACATCATATATCTGGTATTTTAAAGGAATATTAAGAGAATATATTGCTTATTTTATGTGACATACAAACATCATATTTTAAGGATTTCAAAAGAATATAAATCCGACCTCTAGTAATGATACTTTAAGACGCCTTACGGCACATCATAAAAATATCACAGTATGTCTAATATAGTTAATATTTAGGCAAGCAATAACATTTAATAGGTAGGTAAAAAATACCAAAAGGGTGGCGACAACTAATTCTTATAATATACTGATTGTTCCATTTAACGTAAGACACGCATATTCAAAAGTATTTACTTTTTTAAAAATATTATTTTACAAGGATTCTAGTAGTAGTCACAAACCAACAATTTAAAAAAAAATGTTTTAATATTTTTATCCTTATTTTTTTTTTTTTTTTTGAATAATAACTTACAGTTTAAATTTCACATTCCAAAGTAGAATATTTTTTTATTATTTCGATACATAAAAATCGAATTTAGTACTAGTAGTTTAAGAGCTTTAAGTATTTAACGTGTATATGAGCAGAGTGGAATAATGGTATGCCTTCGCGCCGCAAAATATTAGTCCATTTCTTTGCTCATCAAAACTTTAAAAACATATAACTAATAAAATGCTTGTCCTAGGTTCAATTCGTATGTATCAAAATACTAAAAAAAAATTTTTCCAAATACTTTAATACTTTTTAAATAATGAGTATTACATGAAATGGTATACTTCGTATATTAACCACCTTTTTATCTTATAAATTAAATAATTAAATAAGGGGTTCAGCAAGTTAAAATATTTACATATATTTTACATAAACTATGTGTTTTTTACATAAAGAACTATCCAAACGATAGGTAGTTAGGTTTTTTAAAAATGTATTAAATTTATTAAACTGTTGTCCTATCACTTTATCTTTATTATGACTAAAATATAAAACTGGCCTATTTTCTAGTTTCGGGTAAGTAATATTATCTAATTAGCCAAATTATAATTTAAAGTTAACATACATTAGTTTCAAATGTTTTTGTTAAATCTACACAGTTTATAGATTTAATTCAACCACAGATTTATGCTTCAGTATACTATTTCAGTATATATCTGTATAAACACAACTACATAAGTGTACCTATTGAGTACAACTCAATAATATTTTTAAAAAGGTAAAAGAGGATAATATTTAGTATAATGTGACCGGTTTTTCTTAAAGCTGTTGATAAGTTTTATTCAAAAAATGATCATGAGCGGTTCCGGATTGGCCCGGCAAATTACTGAGTAAAACTTGGTGGGTCGCAACAATTTTGGTCAGTTGAAGTCTTGAAAGACCGCTGATCGAAAATAATATGTTTAAAGTTGAAGAAATGGAGACTAAATGTTGAATTTGCTTAGACCACAGTACATGGTTGTAGGTTGTTAATATTAAGTTTGAAAGTGGGCCAATAAAATACTGAAAATTCGGTAGGCCGAGTTTTTCGTCCAATCTTTTCCTGATCATGAGTATTGTTAGTTTTTCTCATAAGTAGTAATTTGAAAAGAAAACAACAACTACTACTTCCGCTTCAAGATTCTTCTCCGTTTTTGTAATATTATCTCAATACATTTTTTTTTAATGTCTCCAAATTTAATTTACAACCACAAAAAATGTTTATTCAAAATATATGAAGAAATTAATAAATATAATTAACATTAAAAAAAATATCTAAGTAATATATTTTTATGTATTTGTTTTGGTTGCAGATCTTAAACCTTATTTAAATAAGTGAACAAATTTTAAAGTTAGTTCAAGTAATTAATTGTATTTCTGATCATTTTGGATTCTAAGAACAAAACTTCGGTCGTATGCCTCATATTAACCCTAGGATGACATCTAGAGTGTCCTCCTCCATTTTCTTTACAGTGGAGGTGGGCGATACAAAGTTCACTATTTTGAAGCGATATCAAAATTTGAAACCAATTGGATCTGGAGCACAAGGCATAGTTTGGTAAGCATATACTAGTAACTTCTCAAATAGGTATGGCATGTTTATTCTTATATTGTGTAGTATATATATGATTTATTAATTATTATTTATTAGTTTTTGTTTATAGCTTATAAACGCCAATGTATTATGTTTACAGTTTATAAATATATTTTTACTCTGCACAGTTCATAAAATATAGTTTATAATACACAAACAACTGCTGTATTATATTTAGTAATTCTAATATAGAATTTCCATATAGAAAACATAAAAATTACATTTTATTTATATCACATTATGTAAAATAAATGCTTGTATAAATAAAAATTGTTTAGATATTAAATATAATTAATTGAACTTGCATAGTTGCAAACTCTTTAATCAAAAATAAAATATATTCAATTTTAAAATGTATATAAATTGTTTTAAATAAATAATCCATTAAATGGTTATTGATTAATTATTTTGATAGGTTCCATGAGATTAATTCTCAATTTAATATAGGTCTACTTAAAATATTTTATCAAACTTAAACTTCGCTGATATTGTGATTAAATATATAACTTGCTCAATGCTCATATTTTACGCTGTATGTTAAGTTAGATGCTGTAGTTAGTGTCTATTAAAAATTATTATTTTAGACATTTTTTTAAAAGCATGAATAGCATGAATGTATTATTATAATTTTATGTTATATACATTTTTTTTTCTGTAGTTGCACTATTTTTTGTTTGTTTTTGTGTTTGGTAAAGTTGAATTTGAGGTTGTCCACAAAATGCTTGGAACACAATCACGGTTTGTCCAAAGACCTCAAAATAAACCAGACACTATGACTGAATTAGCTGATATGTTCTACACTTTAGTATTTGGTGATACTGAATTTTCAGTTCCCAGACGATATGTTGATCTTGTTCCCAAAGGTTTAGGTGCCCAGGGCATGGTGGTGTAAGTACTGAGACATTTTTAATGGTACGTGATTTAACTAATTTTTAATTTCTTTTAGTGCCGCCATGGATACTATTACTCAACAAAGTGTTGCTATTAAAAAACTATCCAGACCATTTCAAAATGTAACGCATGCAAAAAGAGCATATAGAGAGTTCAAACTTATGAAATTAGTAAACCATAAAAATGTATGTAACATGAATTAAATTAATAATAGGATATAATATAAGTGATATATTAGTTAAAAATATTTTTAATTACTAGATTATTGGTTTACTAAATGCCTTCACACCACAAAGAACATTAGATGATTTTCAAGATGTGTATTTGGTAATGGAACTAATGGATGCTAATCTATGCCAGGTGATCCAAATGGATCTTGATCATGAACGAATGTCATATCTTTTATATCAAATGTTATGTGGTATTAAACATTTACATTCAGCAGGAATTATTCATAGAGTTTGTATTTTAAATATTTAGTACAATTTTTGGTTTATGACTTACATTCTAATAACATGTTACTGTTTTAGGACCTTAAACCTAGTAATATTGTTGTAAAATCTGACTGCACATTAAAGATTTTGGATTTTGGATTAGCTCGAACAGCTGGAACTACATTTATGATGACTCCATACGTCGTTACTAGATACTACCGAGCTCCAGAGGTAAATATTATATATTGTATTATTATTTTCAATCATAAAATAAGTAATACTAATCTAATTGTTTTTATGATATCTATTTTAGGTAATTTTAGGCATGGGTTATAAGGAAAATGTTGACATTTGGTCAGTAGGTTGTATTATGGGTGAAATGATAAGAGGTGGCGTATTATTTCCTGGAACCGATCATATAGATCAATGGAATAAAATTATAGGTAGGTTAAAATATTTTCATCATTTTAATTTAAAGCAGTATTAACACTAATAATAATATTATTGAAATATACATGTTAACTATAGAACAATTGGGCACGCCATCACAAGAGTTTATGAGAAGGTTACAACCAACAGTTAGGAATTATGTTGAAAATAGACCTCGTTATCCAGGTTATTCATTTGATCGATTATTCCCCGATGTACTATTTCCATCAGATTCTTCTGAACATAATAAACTTAAAGGTAATATTGTTATTTTTATAATAGACAAATAATAAATTAATTGTATAAATATACAAAATATTTTTTAAATTTTGAAGAAGTTAATGCTGGTTACAACTATTATTTTATATACTTAATAAATTCAAAATTAAATTTAATGGTTACTAAACTGTTGTATAATATAGCAAGCCAAGCACGTGACCTTTTGTCTCGAATGCTAGTTATTGATCCAGAAAAGCGTATATCTGTGGACGATGCATTGCTACATCCATATATAAATGTTTGGTATGACGAAAGTGAAGTAAATGCACCAGCACCAGGACCATGGGACCATTCAGTGGATGAACGCGAACATACTGTTGATCAATGGAAAGAGCTTATCTATCAAGAAGTTATGGAGTATGATCCAACTACTGCAGCAGCAGCTTCTGCTAATGAACCACAACCAATCCGATAGACTCCACTGGCACAGTTTACCTCCGTCCAATGTCTGACAACTGTGTCATAAGTATAGTATTAATACAATTGTAGGTATAGTCTTCCATAACTTGAAAGTAACTTAAATTTTTAATTCCTTTTGAAATGGACGAAATTTCTACAAAAATGAAATCATTATGTAACTATAGCTGTACTACTTTATAAGTAAATTTTGGGAAAACTATCCACATTTTGGAATTTTTTTACAGAAATTTTCTTGTGAGAAAAATATTCAAGATAAAACAAATTAGATATTAACGGTTGTGAGTTTTTTTTTTTTTTGTCTTATTAGAATGTTTAAATAAAATTAAGCTCTATGTACATTTATATAAATATATATATAAGGGCATCCCTATTAATCTGTAAATTAAGGTTTATACATAAGTAAATTATAAAATAATTATATATAGTATAAATAATGTAAAATCTTGACTATTTTCACCCTTGCAGACCAATTGTGTCAGAATGTAACATGTAATGTAGGTATATTTGTGTATGAGATATTTTTCTCTGTTTTTTCCCCTTAAACTTATGATTGGTAAAAACATTGATCTCAATATAAACTTATTACCCATTGTTTTACTAAATCTATTTTAAGTACAATAATTGTTTTGATAGAAGCAGATAATCTTAATTTATTTGTTATATTCATTGCATATATCTTAATTTAGTCAATTGTTTATCCACCTTTTATAATTAGTTGAATTTGAATTTTTGTCATACTAAATTTTACACGCACAGTTTAAAACTGCATTCTTAGGTCTGTAAGGGTAGATTTAAACTGTTGAGATGTTAAGCCTTTTTTTAGAACTAGGCTTATTAAATACTGTAAAACTATAAATACCTTTGTATTGTATTGCTCATACAATCATGAGCCATGATATTTGTATGAATATCAAAAATAATAACAATTAAATATTATTTATAATGAGAAAAAAACAAAAAATAAAAAAAAATATAGATTATATTCTTGTTATTTATTTTATTAGTAAAAGTATTAGAAGTTGTATTGTGGTGATTCAATATCATCTCAACTATAATACTAGTGGATGTGATCACTGAAATTAATAAAATAATATTTTATTTGACGATTATTATGCAATAGGTTTCTATTCTAGGTTAATTGTAAAGTCCACAAGACTCAGTACTATCAAACAATAACATACAATATCCACCCTGTAAGATATTAAAAAAAAAATATTGTCTATACTCTATTCGGATGGAGATCGTACCTCGTCATCCAACTTCTGCTCATCATAGGTGTGGCTTCGTTGCACAATGCTAGTTTCACAAGCTTTCTAGGTGGGGGAAGCGTCTGACTGTTGAGAATGAAAACTGGTTGCCGCCGAGGTACAATCTCATTCTGAATAAAGAATAGCTAGTTTGATTTTAACCTAGTTTTTTGAACTGAAAAAACCTTACCCAAATGTTGGGTTATTATTAAAAACAATTTCACAAATACTATGTTGTTACTTCAATACTCCATGTAGAATTTTGATAAAATCTGTAATTTCCAATATCCTGTAACTGTTTTCATAATTATTATGAAACAATTCAAACAATGTGGAGTATTAAAAATGTTAGATTATGAATACTGTACAAACAATTATAGAATAGCTAATCCTATAAATATGCACTTTGTAACATATTGTATATGAACAAAATCATTGAATTATTCTAAAATTGTAAACTTATTTCTAGGATTCAAATCGTCATCATTTTTTAGAAATATTTTTAGTTTATTCTCTCTAACATAGGTAAATAATGATAACAAAATGTCCACTAATCAAAAAATCCATTATTCTTTTAATTCCTTGGCAGCTTTAAGTTTTTCTATTTCTTTTTCAACATAATCTTCTAAATCATCCAGTGGCTTGTATCGGTTATGAACTAGTTGTGATCCTAACATCATAGAGGCCATGGCCATAAGTGAAAATTTCACATAAGCAGCAATTGATATATTTCCAGACATTAGTGTTCTTCGTTCAACCTATTGGCAGCTATTTCTTTGGCTTGTTTACGTTTATATACTTCATAAAAATTTACACCGAACGGACGCCAAGTTATCATCAAATACTCTAGACCAGCACCAGCAATCATGAATATTGGAATAGCTCTAAAATAAAAAAAATCAGGATATCCTTGATTAATAAATACTTATTACTCATTGATTTTTAACGAAAATAATAAGCTTACCTGTAATATCCAAACCGTTTACCAGGCAAATGGAATAGAAATCGACGAATCGAATAAATGATGCTCATTACTGTTAGTACTTCTTAAATGATTTACCTTTTGATTTTGGTTTTACGTCACACATGTTGCTCTTATTACGCGGTCATTGTGCCGAAAAATAGTATAAACACTATAAACTTCAAATGTACAGTATAATGGTGAGTATTGATGGTTATGAGCTGCTGAGGTACCGTTTTCAAGACTTAGTAACATAAAAGCAAAAATCTGAATTTTCTTATCTTCAAATAAAAACTGATAGTATGTGATGATAATAAATGAGATTATGGGTCATCATGTACTCTCGTAAAATCCTGATAGTGAGGAATAAGCAAGTTCTTCAGGCTTCAGCACTGTAGTTGTTTCTAATTATCCAACAGCAGACCGCAATCTTCACTCTTCAGTTTCGATCATGGCTATCTAAACAGATAACTGTGGTTTCGAATTTTCGAACATCTTTCTTTTAGTCTTGTACTCTTGTGGTTCTCGTAATGTAACATTATATATCGTGGTAGTTATTATACTCTGTGGAATGTGGATGGACCTTAAGAATAAGCTATTTTTTCTAAACATATTGTTATTTTTTTTGTTAAACTTTTTCTCCCACAATTAATGGGAATAGACACCTTAATTTTTAGATGTACCATATCTATACTCAATGGGAATACTAAAAAAAAAGGTATATCTTAAATCATGATAGACATGAATTAATATATGAGTGTTGGATACTTATTAGTTAGATTATCTAGTAATTGTGCACTTGTCACTTATTACTTAAGTATATCCTAATTCTTGGTGGGTAAAGACTACTGATTAGAGAGTATAGATCACGATTAAATTTATAGGTATCCCTATTTATAGTGTCCATTTAAAATTTTCCCCAACATTATTGGTTGGTATTAGTCTTTATATAGGTACTGATGAGTGGGGTAGGGGGACCATATTTACTGAGATCTGCCGGCTGGGGACGGTCGTTGTATCACAGAAGACAGAACAACATATACCGTATATTTTTAAAATTGTAGTGCGTTTATTTTTGTTTACCCAAAAGTAAACATGTAAATTGTGGTTGGAGTGACTGAGCTGTAGTGCACTGGTGCGTCATATTGCGCAATGCACCTGCAGTAAATTGCACACTATAATCGTTATATTATTAAATTAAGTTTTAGTTAAATTTGCTGCCATCTTACTTAGTCGCTTGTCCGTTACTAAATAGTTTATGTACGGAACTCAACAGAACAATACTTGAACTATTTTATCTAGAGTCTCAATTTATTTATTGTTGTAATACGTACACTCTTCGAGTAGTCCACACTTCAACACAGTACAAAATATTCTAATATCTTAGACCGTTACATCTTGTAATGAACATCTTCTAGGGGAAGGCTTCGAAGTCTCTCTGTTTCATAAAAACAACGGCAATGAGGTAAGATGCTTTTTTTATCGGATTTTCATTTTCGTCAATTAATGATTATCTGATTGTTTCTTTCTTTAATCTTTTCTATGATTATTCTTTTTTGTCCAGTTTCAACAGATTCAAAAACGATGGTTTGGGCAGTTTGGGTAGTGGCGCAGGCAAAGGTGGCGGTGGTGGAGGTTCCATCCGAGAAGCTGGTGGTGCTATGGGTGAACGCGAAGCTGCTAATGAAGAAGAATATTTTTACATACAGGTTAGTATATCAATTTGATAATTTCAATTAGATTTAATGCTATATATTGTATTTTTTAAATAGCAACGGCAACAAGTAGACAAAATTAAAAAGGATATTGAATTTCGTAAAGCGGAAATAGAGAAAAATATTGATGAAATCAAAAAGGCTAAAGCTGATTTGGACAAGATAACAGATAAACAGTGAACAACTATGTACTTACCTATATTTTATTTTTTATATTATAATCATCAAACTAGAATTAAGAATATACCTAATCAAATATTTTGAAATATTTTGTCTCAGTAAAACTATATTCTTATACATCCAAATATACATTTTTATATTTTTATTTAATCTTGTCTAGTGTGTAGACTCACTTTTCATGGAATGAAAATCCTCAAAAAGAATTCTGCTGGAGAATAACATAAAAAAATATTCCAATGTATCATTATACATTGAGAGTGATGTAATAAATACAACTTTATCATTTTTAATTACGAATATGAAATAATATTTACTTTTGATTAATTAATGTATCAAATTAAATATTATAAGTTAAGCAATCATTAAAAACAAAAATCAATCTTAATCATGTATTACGGAATAATAATTTTAAAAAAAACCAAGCTATATTTAATTTTTTTAATAAACACTAACTAAAATTTTATCATTATCAAACATTAACTACGTACATAACATAATAATAATATATTGATTTGTATCACAATTGCACGATTCTTTAAAAATTCTAAGTTTTGACACTTATATTAGTTTGTCGCTCATTAATTAAATTACTTAATGACAGAATTTTTAAATCATTGGATTGAGTGTTGTATTATATAATATATTAAAATTGTTAGTCAATTTAATATTTTGATTCATTGAACTTATTTTATTTTTCTCTTGGGTTTTTTTTCAGTAATTCTGTATTGTGGGTGAGGAGAAGTTTTTTTCTTGGGAATAATGTTATTCGGATTACCATCTGTATCTTCTTTGCTGACTGTGAATATTGAGTAGTTTGTTAGTGTACACAATTTACAGGTTAGTTTTCCAAGTGTGATACCTTAATTTTAAATTAAGACTGGAATTTTTAAGCAAATATATTTTTCACATTTTGTTGTATATCATTTAAATGTCCTTTGGTCTGCTGTTGGTTAAACTGGAATAAAGGTACTTTGGTAATCCAAACTTTTTTTCTTTGAATGAGAATTTTCCAAATTGTGTTGTCTATAGATTAGTCTAGTAAATGTTATTATGTCTAAATCAACATTTAAATGAAAAGTTGTTGAGTTTCTAAACTTTGTGAATTAAGGATTGTATAATAGTAAATAGTAATAATAATTTGTTAGTTCTATACTTAATGCATTTATTGGAGAATTTTATATTTAAATTTGAGATCATTAATGTTTCAGTGCTAAATTGTTATTATTTTGTTAATGTATAAAATCAAATAAATAATTTTCAAGTATAATAATTACTTAGTTATAAATTGTATATGTGTATATATAAATGGGTGGTTTTTATGAAAACTCAACAATAGTAATTTCATATAAGAGGTTTAACACACTGCATCTGTTACACAATATTCTAATTGTTTTGATGTCATTGGTTTATATTTAATTGTAAAGAACAAAGTCAAAATTACATTTAAATTGTCAATGGTAAGTTGTGACTACAATACCAAGGCATGTGCTGAAGGTTAAGTAAAAATAAAAATGTCTTCTACTCTTTAATTATTCAAAATGTTTATAAATTGATAAATGCTAATTCCATTCTTGATTAGTACCTAGTTTAGTAATTATGATTAATACAAATGAGCAATGACACATTTAAAAAAGTTGTATTGTGTATGTACATATTACCTATATACTTATGTATCAAAATTAAATATTATTATTGTATTGGGTACATACTATTTTATGAAACATTAATAATTGTCTCCCTGCCAAACTGGGGCGCATCCTTTTAGTGTTTCAACAGGAAGGTAAACATTCATTTATGCAAATTTTAGACAATAATTCAAGGTAATGCTGAGCAATCCATGTCTCCTTAGCCTTATACATACTGCATGTTGTATGGCGGCTAGCCACAGCATTGTACTGTTGTGGTACAGGACACAGTTACAGCACTTAGAATTGTTTAAGACATTAATGATTTATACGTTTAACATGTCACTAATTATCATTTATCAGAATTATTAAGCATTAATTGTATATATAATTGTATGACGTATCACTTATCTTCAACAATTTGTTGTAATTTGGGCTTAAATGTATGTCATAAAAGTTAATCATTAGGAAATAACAGAAAAAAAAATTGTCTTTTATTATAAACCAGTGTAATAATATTACACTGTCATATGATAGATGCTTAATTAAATGTATATAAAAAAATAGGGGGACAAATATATCTTAACTCTGATAAATGACAATGGTTGAAGTTAGTTTCCTTAAAAACTGTTAATGTTCATGTTCCATAAATCCTTTTATTATTTCCGAATAAAAAAAAGAAATAATACACACAAAAGTAAACCTTAAACATTTTAATAAGCTTTTATTATTTATTAAATTAAAAAAATCAGACTTTTTTAATGTTATTTTAGAAATATGTATTTATGGTTTAAAATTAATAAATAAACAATACTTGCTCAATTAAAAAAAGTAAAACAAACTAAAAAATAAAATAATAATCAAACATCAGATATTTATTATGACAAAGCAAAAATGTGATTTATTAAACTAAAAACTGTTATCATTTGAGTCAAGTTAAACTAATAACATAATTGAACATTGGTCTTGGTCATTGGTAATCATTTAACTTCATCTTCATCTCTAAATCCATCAGAGTATTTTTGGCGTCCAGCCATTTCCAATAGATTCATATCCCATTCATCTCTACCTGAAGTGAGTTTTCTTTCTTCCTCTTCATCATCTAGTTTAGGTTTTTCTTTAACACACCATATTTCTAATGAATCAATTGTGAAATCTTTGTTAGCTGATAACATTGAATAATCATTAAATGTTGAACACGAAGGACTACTTTTGCCAATGCCATACTCTGAATCAATCCATAGTCCCCAATAGCCAAATTGTCCTCCCATCCCTATGCCATTTGGCAGTGTATGCTGGCCACTATTCATGTACATATAATTCTCATTATGTCCAGAAGAAGCACATATATTCAAATTTGGATATAACGAGAAGACAAAACAACTGGAATCTCCATAAAATTTAGGTTTCAATAGCCACGATTGTGAAGCGTATCCTCCAAATATATTACCAGAATTATCTTTTAAAATTAAAATTGTACTTCCTTGGTCAATTATGGCAGCACTGAGTGATTGGAAGCTCTCGCCGTGTGAAGTAGTTGAAAACAATAATCTCCAATTATCTTGACAATCAGCCGGTAAACTATGTTTTATGAACATTATCCATCCAAGATCTAAAATAGTTTTGAATGACTGTATGTACTTTTGGCTTATACTAATAGCTGGAAGTAAATCCAGTTTACGTGGCACTGAGTAAAGTGTAGTAACCAGAGCTCTATGCAATAGTCCAAGAAGGGTGTTGCCTCGGACCCATGCAGCAATATCACCTGTTAAACCGTCTTTAGACAGTTGAGATGAAAGTTGAAGAATGGTGTGTGCTTTAGCACCAATTCTGATCCAGTAAGCGTACTCATCAGTATCCTTTAAACATAGATTTATAGTTTCCAAAAGATCAATTGTATATCGTTCAATATTTGATTTCGCAAGTACAATAGACATTATTTTTAGGTAAGATTCATGGTACATTTCACAGGTTGATAAACATCGGTAGACATGCACCACTCGCTGTCGACACGGTTTGTTGGTCGCAAACAATTGTTTAATATGACTGTTCATGTTATGAGTTAAGTATGAATTCCACCTGTGTAATAGCTCGTCCAAAGAAATAATTTCTTTGTAGTTCATCAATTTATCGATAGCATCATTTTCGTCGAAGGTTAATGGATCTATAACACGATCATGTTTGGATCCTTTGCCTCCCATTTTTAAATTTAAGAATATCAAAAAACAATTGCGGCAGAATGTATGTAAAAACTATAGAACAATTACGGTATAATTCATTTTAAATCACTTTTAAGTCTAGAATTCCCATCGAGTTTATTGTATATTAAGTATTTAAGTGAACGATTAACGAAACAGTTATTATCATTTACAATTAAAACGACGTAACATTAAATCGGCTGCTGACTGCTGTCCTACGACCTACGCACTACGCAGTTCACGACTCGACGTGTCCCCGACTCCGGAGATGAAGGAATTTATATAATCATTTATCAACAATAATCGTCGTCAAATTAACCACGGTGTCACATACAAATACACAATTGTATTTAGAAGATAGTCGGATAGACGATAACGCTATAAAACAAACCAAAATAATATAATGGTTACATGAGTATAGGTCTAAATGACTAGTATTATCAACACAGACTTAATTTCGTTCAGCCTCGCGCATCGAAGATTCGAAGAGTGGGGTACGCTTCCCCATCATATAATTTTGATCGGCTCATATTTTTATAAACATAATATGATATCACGGCAGAACAATATATTATCAGCCACCAATGAAAAGAGGCGGAACCGTGGAAAATCCTTTTTCACAATATTGCGTATCATCACAGAATGGGTGAAGTTCGAATCCCTTGAAAAAAACCATGAAAATGAAAACCAACATTTTATATTTTGCTATGTTATATCATATTTCATTAGACATGAGTTTTAATTTTCTAATTAAAAATTTAGATCACTAATCCAACTACCCAGATGTTCTATCTGTTGAAAATTCTCGTAACCAAATTTGTAATTTTGAATAATTAAAAAAAATACTTTTTTTTTATATTTAAAAAGACATAAAACTATGTTTGGGAGTAGGATTTCATAGAATAAAAAAACTAATTCATTCATTCATTCAATTAACACCTTGTATCTTATACAGTTATACCTATGTATAGCTAAAATGTGTGTATAACTGTATAAGTATATAGGTATATAGCTATAAAGTACCTACTTGAATCATAGAACTTCCATTATTATAAAAAGGTACCTACGTTATTCATTACAAATTTTGACTTATTTACTTATTTTTAGACTATCGAGATGATACAATCACAGGTGCATCATTTTATTGTGGGTATTACTATAATAGCCAATAGGGCTAATAATTAAATAGATTATTTAGTTGTTAAATAGTGGAGTAAAACATTGGAAATCGAAATGTCATTGAATTGTCGTGTTTGAAGTGTTTAAACTTTTAAATTTTCATGTTCAAGTTTTTCAAGGTTTTTGGATTTAGTTATGGAAATAATTACCCCTGATAAAGGAAAATACAAAGTAACGTTTAAAGGCTACCTATATGTTCGTTATGAAACATGCAACATAAAAATATTATACCTACTTGGAGATTTAGTAAAAAGAGTTCTCTAAACTGCCCACCTATTCTCAAAGTTATGCATGGACACCCTCTTGAACAAGGAAAAATTGATGTTGCAAATGTCATAAATAGAATTAAAGAGACTACCTATAGCATGTACACTTAATTGTCGAGATTAATTGTAAATTACAACATTTCAATAAAAAAAAAAAAATTAAAGAGACTGCAAAGTGTTCTGGTCTTTTGGAGCAAATCTATCGCAGATTTTTGCTGAAGCGGTGTCTCAACTCCATGACCATCGAAGAAACATTAAAATAAACTATCAGAATTCAGAAACCACAGAAAAAGAAAAATTCAAAGATAATTAAAACTCATGTCTAATGAAATATGACATAATATACCAAAATATAAAATTTTGGTTTGTATTCTTATGGGTTTTTTCTGTCTACTCCTGTAGCGATCACGATCGTTCTTACTTATATGTAGGCTTCACCTATTCTGTGATTGTAATGTACGTTTAGATATCCAATGTTGTCAACATTTGAACTTAAATTGCTCTAAAAAAATGTATTTGGCTTTAGTGAGACTATGAAAGGAGTGTTTAATGGGGGATTAGGGGGAAATTTTCCCAGGTTCAACATTTTAAAATATTTTGTAGGTGAAATTCAAGTACCTATAGGTTATAAGGCTATAACGGACTATAGGTCTATGGATTATAGATTCTTCATAACATTCGTAATATTTTTTCGTTTTATCGTAATTATTTAATTTTTCCATCAAGATTAAAAATTTTATAAATGTTAAAATGTTTAAGTATTATATGAAGTATACATTTATATTTTTAATAATTAAAAAACTTATACCCATAACATATACATAATACATATACAGAGATCTGAATAAATTAGATTAGAGTAAATACAATGCGTCTATAGGTCTATATAGTTGAAACTCGATGGACGAGGATATAATATATTGTATAATTTGTAGCTATATTGTAGAATAATACGTAGGTATTAAACTATTAACTATATCAATACTATTCATCATTAACTTTTAAAATTTCTCCTAGTTACTAGTTAGTATCATTATCTTAACTAATATTTTTACATATTTTGTTTTTTTTATTGCATATTTAAGCATTTAGTGACATAATATTAGTGCATATTTATGCAATTTTAAGTGATAGAAAATCCCATCCATGATTATTATTATACAGATTTATCACGAACTCAGTACTCACTACGATATTGCAGTATTCAGTTATCAGTTTATACAATTTGTTAACGCATTAAAAATTACATTCATTACTATTTGGAAATTTTTGATAGTTTCCAAGTGTATTTTTTTGAACTTCAAAAGTTTTTGAAAAGAGTGATAGGTTGCACAGACTATAAAAAAAACATAAGTCAAACATTAAAAATTGGAAGAAATTCTATAAACTATTATAATACTCAAAAAAAAAAATTGTAAATATAATTACACAATACTAATTACGGATGTACAATTTTAAAGTTGTAAATATCCATGGTTTTATGTTCTATTCTAATCATGTAATAAATCAACTTACCCTAGCTTGAGTATAAGACCATCAAACAGGTATAGTTCATGAATGCTGGTTTTGTGCGATGCTGATTCACTTATAATACAATATTAATCAATAGACAATAACGCAAGTGGTATATTTTATACGTTAAATTAATACGCTTATTAATTAAAACACCAGAATATTATTTTATACATACATAAGTTGACTCTCAGCGCATAACCATCACCAAAGTTACACTCAGAAAGAAGTGATGCGTTGGAAAAAGAGCCCGGTGGTTGAAGGGTGCTCTGAGAGTTGGTGAATGGTGGGATGATTTTGTATGAGAAGAGATATGGGACATAGCGGTATATGAGTATATGACCACAGATGCCCATTGTCACATATTATGTAGTCATACACGAGTGTATGTATTAGGGATCATGATGATGCCACTTCTTTTAGTATAACTCTTTTTTATAAGAAGTGGCTATCATTACATATTAGACATATTCTAATATTATAGTCTGTGGTACTGTAGTAGTGTTATAGAAAAGAAGTACTGCGTAGGTAGCCGTAATTGGCAGGTATATAAGACATTATGTGAATTGGTAATCATTAAAATCATAGATTACAACAACCTTTTTTTTTGTCTCCCCTAAACTAAAAGTTTTTGATGACTATTGAAGCATTGGAAAACGACGTTTTTCCGTCGGGTGGTAAAATGGAAATCCCCAAAAGTGTTGGACGTGACTCTTGCACAACCGGACACTGACATTTTTACCACGATCCTTACAAAACATTAAGTTTTGGTCACATCTTATATTTGGTCATATAATCTTGCATGATGAGTAAAAATTATTTTTTCATGAAATTGTTTTCGAAGAATAGGCGGGTTGTTGCATAGATCTCTGGATTACCTTTGCCGTGGGCCGTAATCGAAGAATGCTGCAGAGGAATGACAAAAAATAGTATGTTGTAGCTCGTGAGAAACAACAATTATTTCAGATATCACTACATAGTACATCATTAGTCTTGGCCCTTGGGTGGAATGCACCCGTCGCTTCCAACTTTACTGAAATAGACTTCCCGCCCTACACAATATACTATAATTATTATTCTCACTATCATTTTTAGGTATTAATATTATTATTGTTTCACAGTTGGCTAAGCTGACATTTTTATCTGCCCACGTCATCACTGAGTCTTATAAACAAGTTGCTACAAACCGTGTGTGATAACGACGTGCCAACGCGGACCGCACCACGACGACGACCGCCACTGACTGCCACCCGCCTTACAAAGTTACGAGTTACGCGGCATAGTACAAACGTACAGTACAGTCAACCGACAATCAGTATTGTCGTACTAAACTGCTAACGGTTCTTATTTAACATTCACTATTTTACTCCGCCAACGTCCACCGCTAGTTAAGACACGTCAGTGGTTATTACTCAGTGCACGTCGACGGTTCTTTACTACTATTTGCTATTGTAGAGCATCAGTTGCCGTTGCCACGTATCCACGTACATTTTGCAATAACCAATATCCACCGATCGTTCGATACGTGAATAATGGCACCTAAACAGAGGATGAGGATCGCCAACGAGAAGGCCAGCAAAAACATCACTCAGCGGGGCAACGTCCCCAAATCGACGGTAAGTGAAAAACCTCCCCCATTCCCAGAAGACGACGTATTTGCGTTTTTTTTTCCATTTCTTACCAGTCTTCACAATTCAGTTGATTTATTTCACGTTTTGCGTTTTTCAGAAATCGGAGAAAAACAAAACACCTGTTAGTCCGTGGCTGCTGGCCCTATTTTTATTTGTTGTGTGCGGATCTGGTACGTTCTTGTTTTGATATTTTACTATTTTATTAATATCGATAGTATGTGGCCCCAATGTGGGTAGTGATTAAGTGTATGACACAGGGAAGGAGATCATCAATATTATGATAGTTACTGATTGATCAACAATATTTATTTCAGTTGTGATATTGTCACTTCACATTTTTTTGGCTTGCACCTGTAAAAGCATACCTATTTTAATTGTATGAATAAAATGAAAACATTTTAGAATGGGTTTGAATATTTGATGTTTGAAGCAAATCTAATACCGACATAATTACAATGCTACAATTATTTAAATATATAGTAGTAGATACCTCTAAAGTCTAAGTATAAATATTTATAAAAAATTACTTTTTGTTTATATTTACCTAGAAGAAAATATATTTGTCGATCAATGTTTATTACCAAGTCTTACTAGCTTGTTGTTTTGATTATGAATTTTATTATTTAACTAATCAAGCCTAGGCATCTGGTATTATTTGAGGGTTCTATAGATTATACGTTGTAAAATGATCAGAATAAATTATAATGTGATCTAATTACTTTTTGCCAACAGAAACTGCCCAATTAAATTGTAATGTTAAGTTATAAAAAAATGTCTGCTTTTTAAGTATGATAATTGTATTGGTTTGAATATACTAACCTTTTGACCAAAAACCATTGGCATCCATCTATTTACACATTATTCTTATTTACTAATAAAACTGTACCTATTTAAAATTGTATACTGTAAAAAATTATTAAAAATTATAAACTCTTTGATAACTGATGAATTTTAAATGCAGTACATCCAGCACCCAGGTACTATAGTCATATTTGACTGAACTAGTCAAAGGGTTGAATCATATGATTCCTAATTTTATAGTTTTCTTTTGTTTGTATTAGTTATTTTACCTTTTATTTTTTATTTCTATAATAAACAAATTAACCTAAAATGTATTTTTTAACTGATTTAATAATTTTATTATACTTGTTTTAGAATTTATAAATATAATAACACATAATAATTTATGTTTATTTATTTTCCAGTTATATTTCAACTCATACAAAGCATAAGAAGTGCATGATTACCAATTCTCGTTGCTACTACAATTCATATTTTCATCAACATTCTGCATCTCAAAATATTATTCCCTTCAATGTATTTTTTTTAAATTGTGTTATAATGTCTGGTACATAATTATTCTTTATTATAATTTCATTCTTACATGATATTTTGTTTTTTTTTTTTTAAATGAAACATTAATTATTGGTACCAACATTATTTTTTCTTTTAAACATATTATATTATATCATGCGATTTATACTTCATAATTCCTTTTGTGAAATGTAAAAAATTATTGTTGTAACAGCAAACCTCAATTTCTTTATACGTTATTAATTATATTTTTTTATCAATGCTAATTGAAACACTTGTATATATATAATAAATTGAAACTAAATGTTAAATGAGCTCCTCAAATTTGATTTATCGTTGTATGAAAAATTCACACTGATGTCTGATATTTTACTGTTGCTTGTTACTGACAGGCATGTACAATGAATTTACATTTCAGAGAATACATGAGAAAAAAATTCAACCTTTAAATCATAATGATCATAAATGTTAGTTTGTAAATCAAAATAATATTTGAGTGTAAACAATTTTGGCATCTCAAAACAAAAGTGGGCAAATGGGTATCGCTCTGCTGTATAGTAGGTGGCAAATGTACCTTGTTATTGAATAAGCCACAGTAATGAATGTGTTAAATTTGAATTATAAATCATTGTGTATAGATAATGATTCTAAACTGAAATGGTTTGTCAGACTATTACTAAGTTCATTTTATAATGTATTTATATTGCTTCTATAGTAATATATTAATATGGTGGGTTGAATTAATATTTGGTGGAAAATTGCATCCATTACATAATTAGTTATTATTTTTATCGTATTATATCAATATATCATTATTATTTACTTTTGAGTTGATACCGACTCACTGTAGAACAGTGTAATAGGTATGTGACTGTGGTAAAAATAAGCAATAGATTAAAATCTATCACACTATTTTGAAAACTTCATTGTGAAGTAAATATTATAATAATATATGAGTGTTAACAGAAAATGTAAAGCAAGGGGAGAAGGGGCTAACGAGATTAAGCCTCCATCTAATATGGTTGGCTCCTAAAAAGTTTGTATTTTTATTAGGTTTAGTGTTTTTTAAATTTTTTTATCTATGGAACTCTTTTTGTAGGTCCCCTTTTATCGTGGAACACCTACTTTTATTTTTTTTAGCTTTTTACCTTTTTTTATTTAGCTTTCAACAATAAGTTATTACAGCTCTGCAATTAGAACCCCTACTTCATTTTAATTGTTTTTATGTAAAGATTATTTGCAATAAAAATTATAATAATTGTATACAATAATAATGTGTACCTATAGGGTACATTGTATTTATTTCAAACATTTAATGCTATAAGTGAAATTTTTTTTTATTATTACAAATATTCTAAAAATTGGACCTTATTGACAAAAGTTTAATTAATCATAATATTAGGTTCACCATCAAATCTGTTGCGGTATTTAGTTTTTGTTGATATACATTTTTATCAATGATGTTCAAATATTATTTCTGTATACTGTATATTAAGCCCCATAGAAGTATAGATTTTACCATGTACATTATTATTTAATAAACAAACATTTTTTTCCACTAATCTTTAGTTAGATATTTTAAAATAATTTTCTTCAACATTTTGAAAAAAAAGTACTGAAGTTTCATTGAACCCTGAATGGATCTCCGCAGAAATACAGGGTTATATCATTGATTTTATAATATACTATATAATAAAATCAATGGTTATACGGAACACAGTCTAAGAAACAGTGGTATAGACTAAGGTGACCATTAAAATAAAATAAAAATACGAGACAAGTTACCTAACAAAATATATTAATATAAAAAAAAACAAATTAAATGTATGTTACATAAAAAGTTTTGAAGTACAAATAAAATATTAATATGTACAAAAAAAACCTGCATGATACAACAGACATTAGTTTTATAAAATTGAACTAATTTAAAAAGGATTTTTTGTAAGAAACAATACGAACATCCTATCAAAACTCTCCAAATGTAATTATTTTTTTGTCGCTTTAATCTGACCTTACAATGCTAATTACATAAGTCTATAACATAATCAAAATTGAAAAGTTTCATTCTTGGAGAGACCTACCCCAATATCACGGAATTGACACGGATATCGGGAGTCAGAACTCAGAAGTGACCACAAGGCCATACAAAAAATAATATACATATGTAGAAATTGTACATGGTTCAAAACCAAGTGAAATCAAAATCCGAAACCCACTGGGTCTGCAGCAGCGCCTTAGCTTAGCAACTAGGACTCTTTAAGGCCACCCTGCTATTTATAAATGATAAATCAAAATAAAATATTTTAAGTATAAAATATACCTACGATCGAGAAATTTCAAGCTCAGTCCTAATCTATTAAAATTAAACTTTTTATTAATTTTAAACTGAAAATTAATTTGGAGATTGTCGTGATTTTGATGAATTGTGTCAACATTTGAACTTAAAATTAATTTAAAAAAATCGTGTTTGTAGGTATCGGTAAAATATTTAAATGTCCATCATAACAGCTTATATGAGGACCTTGTATTCAATTTTCATGCTTTATAACTCAATGAACATTTTTTATCGATATTTATACAAAAAATATTTGAACAAATCGAAAATATCTTATGCCATAGATAAATAGCTCAGAGTCAAAATATTTTTAAAATTCTATCATACATAGGAAATACCAACATTTGGTGGATATTTCAAGTATCTAAAGTTATTTATTTTTTTAGTTACGCCGAAAAACAAAATTAATTTTGTCAAAAAATGATTTTGCGTAAAAATTTCCATTTTTCCTAAAAATGATGTCAGCTAATAGTTTTTTTTCTTTCTCCGTTTCTCGCGTAACATTGACAAACTGCATTTGTGTAAAATCATATTTTTAAGTTATCTTAGAGTAAAATTACTCATTACAAAAACTATGTACAATAATGTTGAAAGGAAGAGATTAATAAAGTAATCCAAACAATTTTAAGTTAAATTAATAATAAGTATTTTAATGCATTAAATAATAAACCATATAATAATAATATAAAATGCACTCAAACACGTATATCGGCAACGGGTCGCATATGTCATACCTCGACTAACATAAGAAACTATATTAAAATAATCCTATAGATAACATTTGTAACTGCCGCATTTACACAATATTACAAATATGTCACCTCTGCATTTCTCAATTTCCAACTAAATATATAACTATATAGGCATATAGCTAATTTACAGTATGACAATCAGTGGCGGCGCTAGGCGTGGGCGAAGTGGGCCATTGCCCACGGCCTCGCACCTCAAAGGGCCTCGCGTTCCAAAGGGACTTATAATTAACCATAGAAAAATATGGGAGAAGTATCTATACAAAAATTTTTGTATCCATGAAATTATTTTATTGTAAAAAAAAATCATAAACATAAATGTTATATTTCGTCATATTTAGTCATTACTAAAAGTACCAGATCACACTATGCGTTTTGTCGGTTGCCGATCGGCAAACGACCGCGACTATTCTATAATTAACATATAAACCGCGTTATCGGGGCCAGACTGACCGATTCGGCGAACCGATTTTATATAAACTCGATAACGTAATTTCATTTTGACAGTTGTTGTTAGTTCAATTGGTTGTGTTTTATCCTCATTTCTGTATCGATCGATTACCGAAAATTATATTCAATTTAATAATATTTAACGAAGCAAAAATCATTTTAAACATTTGAATTTATTGTTGCAATACATGTGTGGTATGAAATTTTACTTCGTGTAAATAATATAAGTAAAATCTGGCAATCAGTTCAAGTTAATTTAAAAATGGCTGTTGATTCTTTAAATAATTTTTGCAATTGGATTCAAGAATATCGTGATATAGGATTCAATTAAAGTATTATAGAATCTCGCCAGTTCATAGAAAAAAGTAGTTATGAAATAGAATTAAATTTTAAAAACAAGAGAATAGCAAAGAAGAAAAAAATGTTTAGTTATGAACACACTGATGAACCTATAGAGAATGATGAAGAAAAGTTTAGAGTTGACTTTTTTAACAGCATGATTGATGGAATTCTACATGACATTAAATGGAGATTTAAATCATTGAATGAATACTTTGAATATTTTGGTTTTATTTATGATATGAATATTTTAAGAACCATTTCCAAAGAAGACCTTTATAAGTATTGTTGTGATTTAGGTACTGTTCTTCAAGGGGGTGAAAAGAGCGACATTCAATCATTTGAATTATACGAAGAATTACAACTCATAATTTCAAGTCTACCAGTCATTGACAATACTACTTATTGTATACAATCTACAGGGTGATAACTAAATTATAATTTAATATTTCAACAAATAATTATTTTGAGGGTATGCCATAGACAACATAGCGACACAGCCACACAGGTAGGTAATTTAACTTATTTAGTGAATTTACTCTAATATTAAAAGTAATAGTATAGGATTGGCTCTATCAATCATACGTAACGCATGGGTCAGAAAAGCAAAAACAAATAGTGCGCTGACATCCTAACCGACCTTTTTATTGTATTCCATAAGTCCAAAGTTGTAAACCTACGTATTAGGCATTGTTAACCTAACTATTCTACTTTCACACTTTTTACTCTCCTTAATTTCTAACTATTCAGGTTCAGCCTATTCCAAGTTCCAACCACTCCGTATGATCGGTATTATGTGTATCCATCTTTTCTTCATCACTAACTTTCCTCCTGAATTTACTTCTACAGCCATTCTCACCACCTACCTCTTATTCTACAGTGACCGAACTACGTCAACCTATTCTATCTTGTTTTCACTACAATATGCGGCAGTGGTGCCACTCCTGCACTACCCTTAATGAATTCATTTCTTACCCTATCCTCTTTTCTTCTCTACACACCCAACTCAACATTTTCTATCTGCTACACAAATTTTTCCTTATATTCACTATATCATACCTACACTTCCTATTTTCCCAGTTTCTAGTAACTACTGCAGGTCATTGTACCTGATAATCGGTGAAAATATTTAAATCCCTCAAAAAAATTACTTTCAAAAATATGCCTGATCAGTTTCTTAATTTTTATCATGGCTTTATCGATAGCCGGAATAGTGTTCAGTGGCGGATCCAAGGGAGGGGTAAAAGGGTAAATTGAGCTTATTATATTTAAATTTTATAAATGTATTTAAAAAAAAAATGTCGGTTGAATTTTTTCGTTTTGATAAAAAAAATTGTAAGAAATTTTGATAAACATGATATGGGTTGTCAGAATCAAACCACAACATAATATTTAGGTTATATTCAGCGTTACGTATCATTGCATATCGGTATGAACCGCTAGATTGTATT